TTATTCGCAAGCCGGGAGGTCCGTATTGGGAAAAACTGTACCCTGTGCCTACGTCCTCGGGCGGCACTCAAGACCTCAGGCACAGTTTTTCCCCATACGACCCAACCAAGGCTGGTGAATAACATTTTTTTTTCTTAAACTTCACAAAATTCTGTCCGAAAGAATCCGAATGATTCAGGACTGTAATTACGACAAGAAATTCCATAAACTGAACAATTTTTGAGCGAGTAAATGGTAGTTAAATCGAGGTAATGCAAATCAAAGAGAGATGCTTTAGGCGAAAGATTTTCATTTGCGTAATGATAAAGGTGATTTAAAAGGTTTCCAAACAAACTTTGAAACATTATTTTTACAGGTACTACAGGTACTAAAGGTACTTCAGGTACTTGTCACAATCTGACACCTGTCAAATAGAGAGCACGTAAGAAAAAAAAGCGCATGTACACTTTTTGGAAAAAACAACGGACTAGTTTCGTAAGGACTGTCATGACAGTCTTTTATTAGAAAACAGTTAATGATCTTTCGGAAAGTATTATTAACTCTCATCGACAATAATGTACGAAGATTTACCTCTGAAGTACTTGTAAGTAAATTCAATTTTTTTACTTTGAAGTTGTGAGAGCTTAATCGTTGGTTTGTTGCAATTGCGTGTGAAAATCTGGTCTTTCCTCCACAAAAACTAAATTCGAATGAGACACTTCAACTAAACACAAGGGGATTGAACTCCTTCAGTTTCTGTTGCGTAATTTATGGTACAAATGTCTAAATTGAACGGAACTGGAAAGACTCGCCGAAAGCGTCTTTGTAGTAGAACTGAAAACTTCGCTCGCCCGTTCACTACGAACAAATTGTTTGAGAGAATTAGGTTATTAAATGAATAAAGTTCCATCGATTAATTCAGTGTAACCAAATACCACACGTTTTAACTTTCTGGGTACTTTTCGTGAAGGGTAAAAATTAACTACAAACGGTTTTTAGGCCGCTTATCAACCAATTTTAAGGACACTTTTGCTTATACAAATTCATTTCGAGACCGATATTTTTATGTCAACCAAAGTGATTGGAGATAGAGAAAAAGAGGATTAATAAGTTATTTATCGGCTTCATTGACATTATATTCTTATTACATATTATCATGTAAACAAATTGCAAGCCCACTTGTTCTATGGTCACTATCACAAATACAACAATTATTTTTGCTTTTACAGAGAAAATATGTGGGTTAAGGCCTATTTACACGGTACGACTTTGTCGCATGCGACAAGCTTACGACAGGCCTACGACATGACTTAGGACAATTTACACGCGCACGACATTTTCACCTACGACATGCCAAAATTGCGTGCAATTCCACTCGTTTCGGCCGCGGTCATTGTTTCAATAATTTGCAAGAGAAGGAAAAGAACCTCTTCCTCGCTTCACAGTGATATCATATTCTCTGTTTCCTTATCTGAGAATGTATTTTTCGCTTTGGAAGCAGTCTTCGACTTTCCGGAGGCGACTTCCTCCGCCATTTTGACGCAAGAAAATTTCACCTTCCTCCCCTACTCAGTAGAAATTTGTCACAAAATACGTCATTTTCTATCAATTTCGGCTACGATTGTCGCAGCGTTTTAAAACATGTTTTAAAATCCTACGACATTTTTCGTGACGTGCACGACAGTCGTAAGCGAGTGGTAGGTTTGATTTACACGATACAACTCGTGTCGTAGGCCTGTCGTAAGCTTGTCGCATGCGACAAAGTCGTACCGTGTAAATAGGCCTTTAGAGGTCTTCACTGTCAGTGTCACTTCCTTCTCCTCCCACGTGTGGATTTTGAAGAGCAAGCGGAAGTGCGCGAAGTTTGAAATCGTCCTTTGATTAGTCAAGATTATTTTTTTACATAATGAGATGCTGATTACTTAAGATTGTTTGTCGCTTAGCTTCCGTTCCGCTTTCATTCTCTAGAAAAGTAAAACTGGTTTAAATAAATAAATGTTAGAGTGTTGCCTTGAGTTAGTAAAGCCACACTTTTGTTGATCTGTTGGCAAAAACATATTCATCTCTGGCGAGCCACAAGCAATTACACAATTATTTTTCTGTTCGAACATTTCCCGTGCAACACGTCTACCCGGAAAATGAGGTGTCGAAAATTTCTTTAATAGAAGAACTAACATACATGATACCTTTTGAAGATAACTTTAGATCTGTTAAACGTATAAAAAAAAAATGTTCTCGTTGCTATCATAACTCTCACCTTCATAGTCAAACCTCTCGTCATTTTCTTCAGGCTGCCGAGCCTTGTTTGAATCAATTTGTCTTCTGATTTCTCTCAGCACAGATTCTCTGTTCTCCCAGATCTTCAAAATCGCTACTGCGATTACTATTACTACTCCACCAAAAGAAAAGAGCAATACAACACGAAAGAATTGAGCGGAGAAAAACATAATTTCTTCCAGCTAGTCTAGATATGAACCAATCACACCACAGACTTTGCCACTAAAACACTCGATACTAATCACTCCAATAGGCAATCGCGGGACTGAAACAAAGCCTAACTTTAAAGTTCTTTATTTAATTTGATAGAATCACCAAGACTTGGTACACGTTTCCGCAAAACGTAAATGTAACGGAAACATGAAGCTCTATGTTTCCGCCCCGTTTAAAAAATGCGGAAACGTGGGCTGTACCGCCCACCAAAACATTGATACAATCGTGTGCTTTATGCATTAATCAGAACCACAGGAATATGCTCTTTAAGCATTTTGGCTCGCCGTTTTCAAGCAGTCTTTCTTATGTTAAAACAGTCTGCCGTAAGCTATTGATATTAAAATTTCGACACATTTGTCTCAATCATTGTAACACACTGTTAAAGATCATTCAATTGAAATAAATCGGAGGTTACAAAGAGTTTGCATAAGGTCTTTTAGAAAAAGGAACACGTGTACAATACGGTGTTGATTGTATTACTTGTACGAAAACAATAAGAACCGCTTTTCCTCTTCTTTACCTTACAACTTCACAAAATTTTCATTACATTGATCTAAGAGAATCGGAAATTATTTGAAGATTAATAAAGCAGATGCATCACTCAAAAATTCAGATATCGTGGTAACCATAAAACCATTTACTATATTTCAGGTCCTGGGTTTCTACTAAGCGTGAACAAATGTTACAGATAAATTCGTGAGCATCAGTGGAGATTTTCAGTAATACCTTTCCAATATAGCTTGCCAACGTTTGCTCCATCGCATCTATTTATTAATATGATGTCTTCAGTTTTTTAGAACTGTTGAAAGACTCAAACAGCCTCGTATTAATGTGTTTAGAACAACATTCCTCAAAAGTGTTTAAGGTTGTCTCTACAATCAATCCCAGAAACTGAAATCACGATTCCTCCTTGTTATTTCGGATGAGACCATTCAATAACAGATCACTTGAGAAACTTTCCACTGTTGAGTGAATCTGTTTTAATTCTATGAGTCACTTGCTTCACCTTACCTCGCAGGTGGTACAAATTCATAAACCTTTTTCGGTTCTATTGTTTAAAAACTCTTAACTGACAGTAAAAAGTTACATGTAAATATATTAATGTTCAATTCAATCCAGATTCCGGAAATTTAAACACCCACAAACAGCCACTTGGTCCCGAATGACTTCTAATGCATTTGACTTCGGTTGATTCCCTTCCGCATAATGAGGCACGGTAGTTAACAAGATTGCGAGGGTTCAGTTTACGTGGTTAAATCATATATTTAGACCGTTCTATTAAAACAGAGTTTGCAACAATGGAGCCAATATTCTGTTCTTTCTTCTGTTGTAAGCCCAAGATCGAATTGTAAATTCCTGTAAACAGAAGAGGAAGTTAAATGAGTGAAACAAAAGTTTCTGCAGGTCTCTATCTAGTGCATGATCAAAAGTTGGATAAAATGAAGCAGCCCAGTCTGAACCGAACAAATGATCCTACCCGGAAATGAGAGCTTGATCACAATGTCAAATTGATATGCTTTATAATGAGGCATTATGAGGCAAATGAAATGCCGCGACCGTGTTGTAAAAGTAAAAGAACACTATGATAAGGGTTTCATGTGTGACTCGTTTTCATAGAATTTCTATATTTTTTTGTTTCAATGAATTAATTTTCAGAAAAATATCCAAGAATTATGAAACTGTGGAACAGTTTAAGAGACGATTTGTTTAAAATCCGGGGCAGTGAACAAATATTTACTTTTTGAAGAATCGTACTCGACTTTATCCAGACTTACGCCGCAGTAGTCAATAAAACCTCTAATTGAAATTAAAAGTTTCAGAAAGATGCGCGCCATTGCAGCTTAAACACACTTCAAGTTTCGCTATTAATCTATCATTTTTGTTCTGTTTTAGAGGAGTGCTTTTACTGACCTGAATACTAACGTCTTCTATCTCAGCCTTTCGTCATGTTCCTTCGGTATCTTCTGCCTCCTCTTTGCGTTATTCTGAGATGAATTCAACAGTTTTGTCACCAGAAATGATATTAAGCCACCGATGGCAGCGGACAATACATACAACCAAATATCTTGAGGGAGACACATCTTTGCAAATTTCTGCATCGTAGTTTTTTTAAAGCTGAAGGATGCTTCTCCAGATACAACCTACTTATACCCATGTTTGGACCATTTTATGCGTTCTGCCATTGGCTAATTCTGACTTCCGGTTTCCAAACATTATTAGCTATGCGACGTGCGTCAATGGACATGTGGCGTGCGTCAATAGATATGCGATGTGCGTCATACGGACACGCGAAGTGCGTCATAGCGAGTTGTGAGACTCCTATTTTTAAAATACCTTCGCTCAGCATTAGTATTTCACAAATTAAGTCTTAAATTAAAATTAAGGGCGATATCCAAACAACCATCCACAGCAAAGTACATTGCGATTCACCGACTTCAGTCTCGTCTACGAGTGCCATATTGGGGATTCCCCTTTTTTTACTACAGCTCATTTACATGATAACTTGATTGCTCGTCTGAATGTCACGCCAGTTACATTGGTTTATATTTATTCTAGACTTCTCTCTTTAACAAACAGTACAAGTACTCTTTTGCTATTGAATTTTTCAGGATTTCGATCAAAACCCTTGAGATGGAAATGTCAGTTGAATAACTCGACTTCACAATGACTGTTTGTCAAGTCTTCATCGGTGTGATTATCGTTGTTGCTTATCGAGTCAATTTGTTACTGAATAGTTATAACACAAGAGCACTAAATTCGATTTGATGTTGACTGTGATTGATAAACATACTGCATGCTGCTTTCAATGCCCTTTGGACAAACATTTGGTCAAAGAAATGACAGTAAGTTATATTAAAGATTTTTCATTACAAGCCCATTGCGCGTGGCTACTCCGCGCATCGTTACGTGAAATATTCGTGGAGATGTTACGTAAAACGAAATCGATTTCGTACTGCGTAGGCTTTCAGATGCTTGAATTCATCTACTGGTAAATCATAGGGCATGTGTTGTTCAGGTTGAGTACACACGGTTGAAGTAAAGTTTCTAGCTTCTCTACTTTGAAACCCGTCCATGTGTGACATTTTACTCTCAGAGGAAATTATGGAATCAAACAGAATAATGGGACATCTTTTAAACTAATCAACGGCTGAGTTCACTTTTCGAGGATTCCCACCAAGCGTTAAAACACAATGCCATTCCCCCATTACAGAGAACCAAGGGCGAATTCTCTTTTGGCGTTGAATTTTGTTTTAGAATAATAGTTAGCCTTTCATTCAAACATCAATATAATTGACTAAAATCCTTACACAAAAAAAGACTTCTAAAAGGAAACTATTCACATCTGCGAAAAAGGCCAGTGCGGTCAGACCGGTCGCGACCGTCGTGATCAGGAACAAAAACAGAACATAATGTAATTGCAAGTATTTATAAATCCTGAAACGCAATGACCTATTTGTCATTTACTTTCTTATTCATGTTTTAACAAAGTGTAAATAGAACAAATTTTTAGGTATTATCTGAAGGTTTACAAATCAAAGAAAGCACTACCGAAAGGCTGACCAGTGCAGCTCAAAACAACGGAACTTATTCGCGTCAACAATGTCTTGTGTGTAAACAGCTTTCCAGCCAATTTTTAAGAGTCTAACAGCCGGTGATTCTAGTCTATGATCTCTATGTTACTATAAACATTGATACAATTCAAGATATACAAGTACCAAAAGTTCCATTCTAACTTAAATCTATCTGTTGTGTGATGAAGTCTGTAAACCAAATAACAGATCTTTACTCTTCTTTGTTCGTCCTTCCGTGAGCTGCATTTGTCTAAAAACACAAAGGGAAAATATAAAACAGCAACAGGATTAGATTTATTCCAGATTTTGAAAACGTTAAAAATTTCTAAATATTCTGTCTTCAAGTCTTTTGCATGAAACGCGAGCTTCTGGAACGAGAAACAAACTATCAGCGTTACGTGAATATTCATACGGAATAACGCGAGATAAATTCGAGAAAAACGCGCGCGAACCTGCTCCAGCTCGTTTTTTTTTACCTCGCGCGGGAGCACGTGAAAAGTAATTTACCTCGATGAATTGTAGCAAGGGGAAAAAATGTTCCTCCGGGCCCCAATGCCAGTATTGCTGAGCAAACCTAGTTACGTTGTGCGTGTGACTGCGGAATTGTTATCGGTAAACTTTTCCACGAGATTGTCAAGTAACTGGTTTCAATTTATTTAGAATCTATCAAAATAAGATGGGGAACCTAAGGTCACAAAAAGGAAATTAAAAAGCATTGGGGAAGCAATATATGCTACTTACTATGAAAAATGCAAAGAAAACTTTCACTTAGTGACATTCTAGTGCTTGTCCCTGAGGCTGATCTTCAAAAGAACCCTTAACCTGTCGAAAAGACTGAAAAAATGAAGAGAAATGAGCAAAGGCAAACAAAACAAGAACTAGAGTTCAGAATGTCATAAAAATGACAATGCTGTTCACCTTAGCCTTCGTCAGTCTTACACTTCAAGACAAGTCCAAAGAATGGTCCACCAAAGGTCAGCTTCAGCTTCATCTAATAACATAGAAGGAAAGTTGGACCAGCTACTAGCTGACCTAGAGTCATGGCCTGATGGTCCTCCAAACTGGTCAGAAAAAGCCAGAATGTACAACATTAAAACCAAGGGAAGTGACTCGACACCTGGTAATAAAGGGCAATTAGTCAAGGCCTTTCTAAAGTCAAAAGAAGTCAACTTTGCCTGATTTGAGCCCCCATCAGAAGTGCATCTCAATTCAAAGGATGGCCTTACAGGTAAAAAGTGTGAAATTTGTAACTAAGCCAACCATGGAGAGTTAAATATTTGCTGCATCATAGGTGAAAGAAATCATGTTTAAGGATTAAAGGACATTTAAATTTATTGAAGAACAATAAGATTTAGGAGTTAAAATTTAGAATTTAGAAGTACTTGCAATACTTCTAATTATTATTTTCTACAGTTTAATTAGACTATGAATTAGTAAAACATTAGAAGAAGTAGGACTAAAGTAATAAGAATGCCGCATAAATGAAGTTAATGGTGAATATAATAATACTTTCATAGGTTTTTATCATTTCCCTAGCCTCCTGTAACAATAGGTTTTGATTAATTTTCCAGGATTCAGGGTACACAGAGCTATAAGGAAGCAAAAGGCTGGAGAAATTTCCGTGTCTGTGATGCGATTAAGTAAACAACTCAAGCAAAGCATCCATGAGGGAATAGAGGAGAGCCAATGAAAGAAAGAGAGATCACCAAATTGGCTATTAATACACAGGGAGAGATAGAGCAGAGGAAATGTCACTTGCAAGCAAGAAAAATTTCCTTACAAGACATTAAAAAGAAGCCTCAATTAAAAACAAAGACCTCCTTCGATTAAAAAACGATGCATTTTATGAAGAGCTCAGTGAAAGCGAGATTCGTGTAGAGCTAAAAAAAGATCAGTGAGGATATAAAGGGAACACACGATGAAATCAAACAAAGACTGGAAAGCTTTCAGCAGAAGAGGCATTGGCTGATTTCGCACGACCATTCAACCCCTTCAAATTTTGCTCACATCTTCTTTTGAGGCAGAGAGATGTATGACCCAGCAATTCATCTCTCTGATGCAGAAGCCAGAGTTCAGTATGGAAAAGATGTTGATGTCCAGGCAGCGGTGGAGAGGCCTTCTTTTTACGGTACCCCTAGTGTATATGTTTGCGGCGCAGACGAATTTCATACGCTCAGACGCATAGTGGTCACACGCGAATATACGATATTTTTTCGCGCACGGTCAAAAAAATGCGCGACTCGTGTGCCTTTGTTATTCAGTGCTATACGTTTCCTTTGTATTACGTTGTTGTGTAAGACAAAGAACCTTTAGGTTTGAAAAGCGACGAGTCGAAAACGGAAAATTTACGCAATAAAAAAGCTATCATGTTACACTCACGCATGTCGCGTCGCTTAGCGAATTTATCGAATATCGAGCAGTGGCAGTAGATTTGCTTGATTTGAGTTGTTGATAAATCAGCTGGGAAGGAAAATATCACTTACACAAGGCATCGAAACACGTGAAGCAAAGTCACGAAGCGAATACTCATTGATATTGACTCCCAATTTATTCATTGCAATCATCGCTCCCTTGAATGTTTACGAAGCGGAATGTAAACAATTTGGTGTTCGCATCGCAGTTAATGATTTCTTCGAAACTTCGAACTTACCTCGACCACCTTTGATGAGTATAAGAAGGAAAATATACTTTTTAAATTTGTGAATGATGTTTTATTTCACTCATTGCGATCGGCGCTCGCTTCAGCGTTTACGCACCAGCGTAAACACTCTGCTGGTGCAGAGCAGTTCCAGTATTGAAGATAAGATAAAATTTGTCCCAGCCAGACATGATGATTTAGTAAATTTAACCCAAAAAGTAAAAACAGAGGAGGATTTTGAAGTAGAAGATGAGATGAGATTCATGAATGGAGACAACCCTACAGTAAACTTTGAATGTGGAAATCAGTATGGAGGGCATTATGCTTGCTCAGGTTGTGATGGGCGCTCAAGCATGTGCCACGATCTAAATTTCATGGCCCAAAGAAAGTACAGAACATTGACCAGACGGCAACAACTGGTGTTAGCAAGAAGGAAAGGAAAAGAGGCAAAGCAACTCTTGAACCCATTTAAAGTTCTGAAGGTCAATGAGTTACAAGCTGAAATTGAAGCAACAGGACTCGGAGATTAAAACAATACCAGACCAGAACTTGCACAAATTTTAAATGAAGAACTTGGAGGAGCAAAAAGAATTCCAGCACTGTTGTTTGGGGATGAGAGTGTTACTGTGGAAAGTCTCAACCTCCATTGCTACGAGGTAGTGTGTTTTGAAGCTCTTCACTGCTCCATGAATCACATAAAAAACATTCTGGAAGAAATCCCACAACACATTTCTGACCTTGATACACTGATTAAACTTAAAGAAATAATAGCCGTTCAACTCAACAAAGAGAAAAAGCGAGAGGTTAAGACACTTATCTACTTAACTAGAGCCCTTTAACAGAGAATAACCCATGATGCGAGAGCTTTGCTGGTCACCCTGTGCGAAATGGTGGAAATGTTTTAAACCCAGGACAGAAAGAGGTCACTAAAGTTGATATATAGGTTGCATAACCTGTGTTGGAGGCATGCAATTTTGTGCCGAAAAGTAATCACCTCAACTAGAGCCCTAACAAGCAGAAAGCTCTTTGGCATCTACTTCCATGCATGTGTATCTCATTCCACCTTTCTTCTCCGTCTTGCTTCACACTGTTCAACTAAGTAAACACAGAAATGTTTGAGAGGTTGTTTGAAGAGCTGACTGACATCACCAAGAAGACCTCAAACAACTGAGTTGAAAGCTTAGTGTGCAATGCAGTTCTGCACATGCAAGCAAAGAAGACTTCAGGAGGAAACACAGCTTTCATCAGACAAGAGAAGGAAATCAGCAACATGAGCAAAGCCCCACCAAAGCTGGAAAACACAGTTTTACCCAAGGATGTCATCAACAAACATGCTGGGCATTGGGAGGCTCACCTTAAGTCTATTGCTCACTTCCTCATACCAGAAGGAGGAGTTTGGTGGAGAGAAATTGAGGAGGAAGACTGTATTGAGTTCTTTTAAGGTCCTGAGGAAATTGAGTTCAGAGAGAAAGGACCTTCCCTTCACCACTTCCACTCTTCCAATATCAAAATACAGAAACTGTTCCTTCAACACTGCTGGGAAGAATGTATTGAAAGTGAAATAAAAATCCCAGCTACCAGATTTCATGACAACACTTGCAAGTGGATTTTATCAAATTTCTGCCTTTCCAGCAACAGAGAAATAGATGAAGAATCTCAAGAAGGAGAAGAATACATGGAACAGAATCTGCCAGTACAAGAACAGTCATTCGAGAGTGACAGTGAACCTGAAGAGGAAGCTAGAGATACAGCTCTTTTGATTAATGGACAAGACAGCAAGGAAAACCTGGAAAATGATCTGATCCTAGAACCACAAAAGCTAAGTGAAACAGAGCAAAATGATACAGGTGAATCAGTGGCTAAGAATCCAAAGTTATCTGAAGATCTTTTACCATTATGCAAAACAGCAAAGGCTCTTTCAAAGATTCTTGGCACAACCAAAGATGTTATGTCAGATGAAAAATTTTTAAAAAATGCAACAAAAAATTCAAGCTCAAGATACCACAGAGAACACTTCTTAAATCACCTAGCACACATTCAAGAACAGGTTCTAAAGCAACACAAGGAAATAAATGAAGCAATTGTTGAGTGCTCAGCCAACTTCAAGAAAGTCTCTAATGAAATTCCCTAAGACAAGCTCATGAAAAGAGATCCAGTTATAGCAAAAACATGGAGGAAAAATAAAGTTACCATTTTCCTAAATAAATACACCTTATTCAATGTTTTGAACATTACATCGGTCCAAAGAAAAGCTACTTTCAGTGGGTTCCACAGACACTATAATCATGAAAATGCACTAAAAAGATTATTTAATACATACCATTTTAAAGACAATTACTATAACTGTCCAACTGATAAATATTTGTAAATGCAACCTACATGTATGTAGGTCTGAAACATTAAACTGAAGGGAATGCTGCATGGTAGAAATCTAAAAAAGAACAGCAACAACATGATTTGTTAAGTTACTGTGTCTAATTTTGTACAACAATCTGTAAATCATAAATTTATTGATATTTCTAAAGGATTCATTGAGTAAAGTGTGCTCAAAATGTAACATTTGCTAAGTGTGTAATGCACAATAAATAATCTTGAGCAAATTAAATCTTCTGCTCAACTGATTTTGAAATTAATTACTGTATTGCAGAAATAAGGCCCTCTTAAAAGACATCCTTGAGGAAAAATTGAAAAGAGTTGTTGTATTCTTTTTGAGTAGTGCAAGGATACAGAAAACCATTATAATTTATTTAAACTCAAAAATCTTATAGCTTTTCATTTCTTGAGTCATTTTGTTGTAGCAGTTTGTTCTAATATGGGAAATCGAACAGTGAAGCAATCATACTTCACTATATTTTAATGATGAACAATACAATTCTTATAAAATGCATATCAGCCATTTTCTCACTGGAAATCTTTGTTGCATGACTTGTGTAAATAACAATTAATTGCTGGACAGAAAATTAAATAAAATGTACAAGTAAGACTAGAGAGCTTTTTCTTGTGAACTAGGCCTGTAATGATATGCTACCCGTACAAGATGAGTCTCACTAAAAAATGAAAGAACTTTGTGATAAATTTTTTTGTCCATGGTTAACTTTCCATATTAGGACTTTTGATAATAAGGCAATGCTTCACCTGAATTCTTTTTAGAGAACAAAATCATGAATTCCTTTACGAAATATGATTTTAACTTAAGCTAACAAATACTTTTCTTACAAATGTCCCTTTCTCACAACTTTTGAAAGTTGGAACTTAACACAGGTTACTGAACAAAAGAAAGATTCTCTAACAATTTAGTTGCATCTTGATGGAGAATTTGATATTTTTCAAAAACGATTTCAATTTCTCACGCTTAGCCCGAAATATATTGAGTTAAGAAAGCGTGGAACTGAATTAACACCTACTCGGCGACGAAAGAAATACGTAGCTTTGCTGCCAGTCAACAAACGCATAAAGATTTAAAATGAAAGCTAACACCTACACTAGACTGGTCCGAACTCACAGTAAACCCAATAGAAGGATGCACAACAGATACAGGCAACACCTCCTTACAGTTAACAGTTTCTTACCTCCATGTTCTTCCCAGGTAAT